TGTACATGCAACGATGAAATATAAATAGGTAGATTATTTAAAAAATTTAATAATTAAATATATTTTTTTTAAATGAAGGTTAAATTATTCAGATGAGGTGGAAATAAAAATAATAACTCGAACTAAAAAAAGCGATGTACTAAGGTAAGTTATTTTGCTTAACGTAATAAAAAAAAACTATATCATTCATAATGATACAAACAACTAAAAAAAAATGAAAAAAAATGGTATTAAAATAAATAAGATCACGAGTTTGTGTAAGAGTGTATATAAGTATGTGAAAAACAAATACATATCATGTATACATGTATGTTTGAACAAAATATGAGTATTTCGAGTTATACGAAGAGAGATGGTTAACCAATAGTTGAATTATCATACAATTTGTCATACTATTTATGACAAAACCTATATGTAATTTTAATACAACTTGTCAAGATAGTAACTAGAATAGGCATCAAAAAAATTTGGCAAAAGTGCTAGGCTACAAGAGTGGTCCGGGGTCGCTTGCCCAGTCGGGCTAAGAAAATAAAAATAAAAATAAAATATTTTTATACTTTAGTTTTTATTTTTAATTCAGTAAAGAATTTCAATATGACCCTGAGGCAAAAGTTGTTCGATTTATGTTTTTGCATAACATAGTTTTTTTTTCGGATTTGTTTTTGTTTTTTTTTTGCTGCGACTTTTTTTATACTTGCACAGGCTGGCCACCCGGGACCCTGGCGGCCCGACTGTAGTCTAACAAAAGTGTATATTCATGCAAATGTTGCCAAATTAAAAAAAAAAAAATACAATTTTTAATGAATGCCAATAGATAAATTTGCACTGCTAAAAAAATACAAATTTAATATGCATCAATCTTTAAAAAAAAAAACCATGTAAAATAAAAAAGCAAAAATGCATTTTCATCAAAGTTACAAGTCGGACCGCCCGACTCACTTTTTTCTTCCGGGCGGCTCGACTGTGCAAAGACTAGGGAAGGTACTAAATAATAATAATAATAGTAATAATAATAATAATAATAAATGTTATGCATAAAAATTAACTTGACATTTTTGGCTTCAGGGTCACTTTGAAATTCTTTATCGAATTCAAAATAAAAAATAAAGTAAAATAAATAGTTTTATTTTTATATTTTTTATATTATCGTTTTCCCAGTTAGGCAAGTGGTCTGAAACTACTCTGGTAGCGTCGAGTTTTATCCAAATTTCGTAATGTTTAATTAATTTTATGTTAAAAAAAAATTGAGCAAAATAATTTCAATACTCCAAATGACACGTAATTTGACATACAACAATCTTAAATTCAAAATCAGAAAAATAAAAAACTTCTCAATTCAATTTCAGTTTTATACTCGTTAACCTAAAAATTGAAAAGTATGAGTTTTTTTTAGACACATGCGGATATGAAGCAAGTTGTAGGTTAATGATAGGACATAAAAATTAATATAAAAAAAATAAATAAAATTAAAAGTGCGATTGGAATAGACAAACAATTTTGAATATAATGATTCAGACCTACTGAGTTAGTCTTCTGCATAAATTTTTATAAGAAGTTGAATAATAGAAAGAGTAAAAAAAAAATAATGTGGTCATTATAAAAATATAACCCAATATAAAAATAAATGTTTAAAATGAACAAGTAAAAAAAAATCTTTGATTTAATAAGAGAATGAGGTTATTAAAAAACATATGATCAGTATAAAAGTAAATTGTTGAAACGGTAAAGTACTTCATATACTTTATAAAAACATAAGTCAATTTCGTATTGTTTACTTTATGATCCAATTATTTTTATATTTTATGATCAGTATAAAAATAAATATCTGAAACGGTAAAGTTATTAAAAAAATGTGATAATCATTTGACAGAGTGTAAAAGCGCAGCAGAAGGAAAAAAAAAAAAAAAACTTTTGCAATAACTACAAAGAATGAGGAAGAGGACAACGCACCGATTTGCAAGTAAAATAAGAGTTTTTACCAATGATTTTTATTTTTGTCTAATATTGTAGTCCCCTTCATAACCAAACACGAAAAAATGTAAAAACATAATAGTTAGTTTCTTTATGCTTGGTTTTGGGAACTTCATAACAGTCTTTACGAGGTTGGTGTGACTCAAGTTTTTTCACCCTAACTAAAACCTTACCTTTTATGACCCCAATGATTGGAATAGGAAACACATATATTACAAAAAAACAAAGGTTGGACTTAGAGTGTATAAAAATTGACCTTTTGTTGTTTATCTTTTGTGCATATGACACTCGTTTAACGTAAGCAACGAATGGATAAATAATAATGCGATAGTAACGAAAGATAATGAAAATTACCACAACGTAACGACAATAATAAATGGTCTTGTTGGCAGAAGAAAAATAAATGACAAAGAGGAGGATCGATCTGGAGGAAAAATATATATACTTATATCTTTAGTAGCGAGTTTTATTGTTAAATTTAAACTTGCAAATTGTAAAGTAAATACAAGGTGGAAAGTGAGTGAGATGTCCGTACTATTAAATCAACTTTTACAAAATAAAATTATTGTCAAACTTCATATGCAACTAGGAGATTGAGGGAGAGCGGCTGATAAACAAAACTAACTGAATTATGAAGACAATTAGGGTTATCCGTCATTGAAATGAAAAGTGAGAAAAACTAGAAAAGGAAAAAAGGAGTCAAATTGCAAAAACTACCTTCGTTCTCTCGAATGCGATGCTTTATCATTGCATATAATGTGTTATGTCATTAAAATTGCACTATATACAACAATATAGTGATTGCGTGTTGTATATGAGGAAAAAAAGTAAAGGAAACGAGATTCATATGAGTGTAGAGGTAGGTCTACAACTAGTAACTTCCACCAAATGCCTTTAAATATACATATCCAAAGATCCGATATTACAAAACTTTATGAAAAGGGAAAAAAAAAAAAAAAAAAAAAAAAAAAGCAAAAGTTGGCGGAAAGGAATAAATTAAAAGAGTGAGGAAGAGGTAGGAAAATAGTAAAAACGAAAGTGAAGGGGACGAGGGCAGATAGGAGGTAACACTGGAGGAGATGAAGGATGAGAAATGACAACAACAGAGTTACCATTTTTCCCCTGAACAATACAAATATATTTAATGGAAATTCCCTGAGGGTATTATTTGAGGGAAGAAGATAATGAAGCGGTGATAGAGAAAGAAAGAGGAAAAGTGAAGAAGACGAATAGGCAAAGGGGTAAGGACTGAATATGTGGGAGAAACGGCGGAGGAAGGTGGGCAAGAGGGTAGTGTGAGCGTTTATGTATGGAATTGAAAGCGGGTAAACGTCTAAATAGAGAAAAGCATAACAATGACAACAATCGCGTATTTGAGGAGAAGTAAAGGAATATGGGCATAGAGTTTTTGGAGGATAAAAGGAAGAGGGGAAGGAAGAGGGAGGAGACAACTAGTCGAGGAGTAAGTAGTAAGTAGTGGAGCGAGGCATATTCTATTATTCTCAGACTCATAATTTATTGGATGTATCTCATCATGCATGTATCCGACTGCAAATACAGCGAGGAACTAGTTAAAAACCTCGTAGTGTGAATATGCCCCTTGAGGGAAAAAAGTTTGAACACCACTCAGACACCACGATAACATTTTGAATGCACGGAGTGACTTTTCATCCGAATATATTCAAAATGTTGGGGACTAGGTAGTGGTGTGGCGAGCCCAAAAAAGGGCGTTGCCACACAATGGACCAAACACACAAAATCATAATGAAAAGATGTACCGCCATTATTTTTATCTTTTGTGCATTTTGTGAGTAGTGGAGCGAGGCCCCGAAAGGCGCGGACAAGGAAGTCAACGACAACAAGTTTGTCAAGGCTGAGGCAAGTGATGAAAGGGAAACAAAAGGAAACGACAAAACCAAATACTCCCAAATTTTCCTTTCCTTCTGGGCCACGACAATCCCCACCTTCCCCAAATGGGAAAGGCTGGACGCCACAAACCACCTCCAAGACATGCTGCTGGTCGCCTGCCCTCGAAGCTGTTGCATGACCGGTCGCGCGAGACCGTTCCAATGTACATAAGGATGCCCTCTAAACCCCTTTTACCATGGGACGACAGACCCGAAATGACAAAACGCAACCAGGATAAGCGCAGGCTCCTGCCTGCAAACTGTTCGAATCGAATCGAATCGCTATCAGTCTCGCGCACGCCTTCACTCGGGTACAGTCCAGGGCGGGGGAAAGGTTCCACGACCGTGGCCGATCACGGTTCGAACCCCGTAACTCCATTACGAAGATCGAAGGCCAGAAACGGAATCCAGGGACAGGGAAGGGGGACCTCGCGGATCACCGTTCGAACCCCATAACGATCGTCCATTACGGAGATCGACGGCCAGAAACGGAATCCAGGGACAGGGAAGGGGGACCTCGCCCCCAGTCATAGCCCGTACTCACACGGGGACCTCTTCTACTGAGCTCTGGTACTGAGCTCTGGCGGGAACTGCGGTCAGATACTCCAGCCCTAGCCGTAGTTACGATCAGATACATCCCCAAAAGTCCTAGTGTGAATACGCTCTTATATTCCGCTTGGGCGCTCGAGTAGTGTTCTTTTCGCCTCGTGCTGTGCCAGTCGGCGGGGCGGGTTCGGGCGGTCCTTTCCCTTTCCCCCGTGCATACGGCGGGTACGCAAGCCAGCCACGTCAGCTCCGCGGGACGGCGGCAGCGGCTGCGGAAGATCCCTGCTGGCGGAGATCGCATCAATTTGGGCGCCGTCACACACCGAAAGTTGGGATCGCAATTCGACGCGTGTTCAGAACTCACACGAGCAGAGGTGGAGTAGCCACGTGGAGCGACTTGCAAGCGACCACGTGGACGGACAGCAACAGGTCAAGCTGAGTCGCACAAACGGTCAAGCTGGGTCGCACAAAGGTCAAGCTGAGTCGTACAAACGGGCGGGCGAGGCTGGCGATCCCCTGATGTGGTGGAAGATAATCTTGGGCAATAGTATCTCATAGTCTTCGCCGGGGCGCTGGGGCGGCGGAACCAATCAGCGAGCCATTCTGTCGTCGGCTTCGCCGACTTCGCTGTCGGGAAGAGATTTCCTTCCCTCCCCTCTCTCTCACCTCTCACCTCTCTCCTACTCTCTCTCTCTCTCTCTCTCTCTCTCTCCGTGTCTTCCCTGTCTCTCTCGGTTTTAGAATTGGAGTTACACGTCAGTCATCATGGCTCACATACGGCACTCAACGGTAAGGAAATCAGCCAATGGTGTGTCGGTTCTTTTTGTTTTTTGAACTTTTTTCTTTCTCCTTTAGACATGTTTTTTTTTTTGTTTTTTTTGTTTTTTTTTGTTTTTTTGTTTTTTGTTTGTTTGGTGGAGAATTGTGACGTTTCATTACAAATGGAAAGATTGAGGCCTTAAAAAAAAATAAAAATAAAAAATAAAAATTGAGGCCGGGAATTCCTCACCAACAACCCGGAATTGGGAAAACTGGGGCCATTATCCAGATTAGGCTTCTGCTGGAAACTGTGTCCAGCATCCCAAAGAAAGACTTCCCAATCCTAAGCAATCCTCCAAAAATTCACCTTTTTTTTTCTTTTTTTTTTCCCCCCAAAAATTCACCTTGAAGCACGACGATCAAAAGAAATTAGCCAGTATTCTGTTTTTTTTTTTGTTTTTTTGTTTTTTCTTTTCTTTCGTTTTGTCATGTATAACACGTCAGCACGCACTT